AGATCGACTCGCAAATGTCCGTGCGATTTGGACCTCCCACAGGTGTTGCAGAGCCGAAAAGTAGTGTAAATCTTCCACCAAATACTTGCGGATATAGGTGTGTACTCGTGTCTCAAAGTCAAAGCTCTTGTCGTACTGGTGGTTGACTGCTCGACCCTCGTGGACAACGTTGTTGCCGTAATTGGCGCTACGTTCATTGCCCACTGCAATATGGGTAAAATCACCCAAAATGGCTGCTAGTACGCTGTCAAAAGCCACCAGAGCAGCCCACGGGTGACCTGCCGGCTGGTATCGCGTACCCGCAACTTCACTTTCCCATATCTTGTCATCCATGTTGTGTTCGAAGCGGAATGCTGAAGCACCGGTACGGTTCTGCGTCATCTTCATGATCCTCTTGAATCTCCAGCTGCGTTCAAACTCCCGTGGGCGGTCTCCAACATGCAGCCACGCACAGGGCGTTTCACTCGACGATAGCAGTTGATACACCACGAGTGAATCCTTGCCACCACCTCTGAAAGCCAACCGAACCACTAAGTCAATCACCCAATGCCCCAATTATTACCTACAATACTTACAATGGAACTAGAACTTTGGTCTTGCCTTGCTGTTCCAGTTTCCTGTCTGAAAGCACTGGAAGAGCATCACTAGCTGATGCATCTACGAGAATGCGTAGACGATCACGATCCAACCCGTGCAAATACAGATACTCGCTTAATACGTTCTGGTAAAATTCCTCCCAGAAGTGCACCTGCCATAACATAGCATTATCAATACTTTATTGCAGTCGTGTAATTGATATTGTCTTCGTACCTGCTCCGAATTGAGATATCCCGCCTCGATCCGAATATACTTGCAGTTGTAGCCCATCCAGAACCACGGCAGGATACAGAGGCCAATGTGCAGCAGCGCATTGCGCACAACTGGCGTATCCTCAAGGTCTTGCAATGGTCCAGCCAAACTCATTGTGGCCTGAAAGCGGCGGCCACCGCAAAAATGGAACTGGAACATTGCAAGACGCGCTTCTGCCTCGAATTTGATGGTCTCAAAGGTGAGAAAGGGCTCGACCTGTTCCAGCAGCGCCAGGCCCAGTCCCGTATCATCATACTCGCAGTCAGATTGTTGAGCTGGTGTTGGCGTGCGCGGAGGCATGGGCAGCTCCAGTATGTAAATCTCAGAAATGTGAGGCGGAGACTAAAAATCAACATGACTACATTTGTGGAATTTGGCTACAAAAATTGTGTTAAACAGGGTCAAGATGGCTACATTGCATTGCATGTTGCTGTTTGCGAGTCCAGTAGTCATGAAGCACTTGTAGCCTCAGACTAAGTTCTCGATTCTCGCCGATGAGACGTCGTACGTGTCGCTTTCGCTCTAAAAGCATCGAATTGTCGGTGAGTCGTTCTTCGGCATCTTGCACTGCCTCTGCCAGTTCGGATCGAGCAGCCTGCAGCCTCACCATCTCCAATGTAGCTCGATTCACACTCTCCTACGAGGACATTACACCAGTTCATAAATATACTGCTCAGACCATATACAAGCTGAAATTAAGCAATAGTCGCACCTGAGCGGTGTGCATTTGATCCTGAGACTTGGCCAACCGTGTTGTGCTCTCATCGTACAGCCGTCGAGCTCGCAGGAAACGTTTGTTCAGCTGCTTCTCGTACCTTTCTAATTGTTCTGTCTGCTTCTGTCGAGTCTAGAAATTGGTAAAAATGCACTTTAGGTCCACGAGTGTGTACGTATTTTCAACCACAACGAGACGTACCGCTTGAATCTGAGCGATGTCAAGCTGCATATCTTCCTGTCCTGCGACTATCAACTCAGCATGAGCCTTAACAAGATCTAACCGTACGCGCCATGAGCTTTCAGCTGGACGTCGCTGGAGTTTATCCTGTAGAACTGCGTGTAACTTTGGTAGCATACGTCGTCGCTCAAGTTCCCATGCTACCGGGTCAATATCGGTATAAATCATGGCGTTCTCTCTATCGTCGATCATTGCTGTATACTGATTCTCTTCCTTGACCACCACCCAGCGTGAAAACACATCGTCATTCTCAAAAGCCAGTGAGGTGGTTGACTCTCCAACATTTTCATTTTGTTGTCCGTCATCGTCTGTCACATCCAATTCATCACATGACTCCAACGTTTCAATGGGCTCTCTCGGATATTCTGGCGGTGTAGTACAATACGCCTCACTACTCAGTGCAGCAGCAGTCAGAGCATCCAGCAGCTCACACACTTCGCTTCCAACACCACTGGTCAATGTAGGTGCACTCAGTTGTGCAACAGCGAAAACTCCAGCCTTCTCGGCCGCCAGAAGGATCTTCTGAGCAGATACAATTGGGGGTTCGTCATTCTGATCATCGTTTCTAGGTACTTCTCCTCCTAAGAGTGATATTAGCCAGTTCGATAGTGTACACATA